AAGTTCTCCTTTGTTGTCGACAATAAAGTATATTCTTCTGATATTTATAACCTCCAGACTGAGTTTGATTTAGTAAGAGAAAAACCAAGAAAACCACCACAAAATCAGTCAAGTTTGGTGAAGGAGAAATTATGGTTTGGGGTTCATTCAGTATGGGGGCGTGCAAGAGATCTGCAGAGTGGATGATCAACATCCACAGCCTGAGGTATCAAGACATTTGTGCTGCCCATTACATTACAAACCACAGGAGAGGGACAATTCTCCAGCAGGATAGCGCTCCTGCTCATACTTCAGCCTCCACATCAAAGCTCCTGAAAGCAAAGCTGCTCCAGGATTGGCCAGCCAAGTCACCAGACATGAACATTACTGAGCATATCTGGGGTAAGATGGAGGAGGAGGTGTTGAAGATGAACACAAAGAGTCTTGATGAACTCTGGGAGTCCTGCAGGAAGGCTTTCTTCTTCATTCCAGATGACTTTATTAATCAGTGATGTGAGTCATGTCAGAGATGTATGGATGCAGTCCTCCAAGCTCATGATGGAGTCAGACAAGATTCATTCTGTCTCCACTGCAGCAGGACTTTATATTCTATACTGGACATTATTTCTGTTCAGTGATGAGACTTTAGTCTAAGCAGAGTCAGAGCTTACTGTCCTAATGACATCATTAATAATCAGGGCATGATCAGATTTTATTGTGCTCAAATAAGCAAAATCTAGAGGCCTTTGCCTTTCATATGAGACACTTCTGACACCAAATCATCAACTAGAAGTCAAGATATTATTCACTGTTCCTAAAACTTGGATAGGCAACAAGACTTTTGTCAGGTAGTGTAGATAGTTTCATTAACTTTGTCATGATATCTAGTGTACAGCATTAAAAATTTGTTCATTTTAGCTAGTTTCATTAAGTGCCCTTGAGCTCCAGAAAGGCGCTGTATAAATAAATGTATTATTATTATTATTAATTAAATCACACGTTTTAAGAGTTTATGATCAAACATTGCAATATATCAAGTTTTATTGTAACTAATCTGCGCATTTAACTGAAGGTGTCACTCACGTGGAGGTGATTGTCCTGAATCTCTCCTGGCCTGCTGTATCCCAAATCTGCAACTTGACTTTCTCCCCGTTTATTTCCACTGTGCGGATCTTGAAGTCCACACCGATGGTGGTGATGTAGCTACCTGGAAACACAAAACATGACAATTAAAAATGTGCAATTACAGTCAAAACAACAAACAACCCAACACAAATTTATACTAAATTTATCTATACTAAATGGCTTTTTTCTAGCTGGCACATCTTAGGTAACATTTATTATTATTTATACAACAGTCCTGTCTGGATCTCGAATCTGATTGGCTGATATTTGTGATATATTTAAGTAATATCATCATCAGTACAGCCTCTTTACCCTTTGTGTATTACTCCGCCCACATACAGTCAGCAACAAGCAGAGACACTACAGTCTGACAAATATTACTGCTGTTAGACAACAAAATATACTTTTAATAACAACAATAATAATAATAATAATAATAATAAATTTTATTTATAACACGCTTTTCTCAGTCCCAAAGCGCTAACAGGCATACAAGGCAAACAAAGCAGAACAATAAAAACAGTCAGAAAATAAAATAGAATAAAAAGACCGCAATAAAATATGAATGATTCAATACAATTGGATGATAAAATGACAAAAATAATCAATCTAAGTTAAAAGCAACGGTAAAAGGGTGAGTCTTAAGAAGTTTCTTAAAACAATCCAGAGAAACAGCATTCCTGAAGCTGGTGGGTAGGCCATTCCATAGCTTAGGCACACTGTACGACCACCCATAGTCTTCAGTTTACAGCGTGGCTGATACAGCAAGATTGCAGATGAGGGATGAAGACTGCGGGTGGGAGTGGCCAGAGAAACCAGGTCACAAATGTAGTCAGGTGCTAGCCCGTGTGCTGCTTTGTATGTTAAAACCAGAGTCTTAAAACCAATACTTGATTTAACAGGAAGCAAGTGAAGTTGCTGAAGTACAGTACTTTTTAGGCTTTTTTAGTGGAGAATGTAGTTGTTTAGATTGCAATTATGCAGTTTATTTGCAAGAATAGTGCCTATTTTAAAATATTTACAACGTCTGAGAGAGCTCGTCGGCGACAGTTGACGTTTTTATCCACAAGATGGCGACAGAAGTGCATAATAAGCCCTTAGGCTTAGAAGATGTAACAGTCTGATTTGTAACTACAGCAGTTCAAATCAATATTAAACTGGTAAGCACACCTGCCAACACTTCTGTTTTTCATGGGAGTATCCTGTATTTCAGACCAGTCTCCCGCAAACACCCCGTTTTTATTTCCTTCTAAAAAAAAAAAACTCCCGTAATTTCACCCACCCCCCTCTTTGGTACAGTCTGTAAACTAAACACCCCCGGGTTGCCAACTTTGGTACAGTACCCGATCAAAGTGGCCGCCCAAAACCTACTGCATCCTGTTCTCAACCTCACCCCCGAACACCCTCTCCCCCGGTCTCCTGGGTTTTCAGAGACATGTCGGCAGGTTAGATGATCTCTCTTTCTTTTGTATGTTGTAATGCTGTATTTATACAGATTTGATTGCATATCAGGAATGTGTGTTGTGTTGGCAGATTGAAATAAGCAAAGTCTGCATGTGTTTAGCGTTTTTCATTATTACAAACACAACAGCAGTCTGGTAACGTTAGTGGATTCGTTGTTATTTTGGGGTTAATTATTGTGAAATCCCGATTGCAACAAAGAAATACTGTAGACTGTAACACTGTAAGAAGATATCTCTGCAGACTGATGGCATTATATGTCATGTTCAGCCTTATAATCTTAAAATATGAGCAAAATCAGCAGTTTTGTCATCACTTCAAATTCAAACACGAGCTCTAAAGTAACGGCTTCTGCTGTTCTGACGTCAGCTGCAGATGTGAATGAATGGCGGAAGAAAGTAGTTCCTAATAAAAGAAGGGTTTTTAGACTCTCCGTGTTTGATTTTCTTATTTATATACAGGATTGTGATGATGAACTGTTGTATAAACGCAATATCACACTTGTAGCTGTGCAATATGGCTGTTTATCAGCACTAGTGGGACGCTAAGGCACTTGGCCTACGGCCTCATGACAACGCACGCGTCCCACCAGTGCTGATAAGCAGCCATATCGCACTGCTATTCGTTTGATATTGCTCATTAATTAGTTTAGAATATACATGTCTTCAAATTCTGATGTAAATGCCTGATTATTAAACTGTTAAATTGACTATAATTAAATGAGGTATTCGTAAGAATGAAATATTACGTGTTCTTTGAAAGAGTGTTCTTGCATTGTGATGCTTTTAGTGTTAAAATGACAATTAAATTGGTGCTATATATCAAACCACAAAATAATAGATATGGTGACAGGCCTAGTTGTGACTGTGTTTGTAGTCAGTTTTATTATCAGTAATGTGGCTCCTATACACTACTGACCCCTTGTACTGTTAATGTTTGTTAAAAACACATGTGATGTGCTGCTCCTACCTGAAAAAGTGTTATCAGCAAACCTCAGCAGTAAACTACTTTTGCCAACACCTGCAGGAAAGACAGAAGAAACATCTTTAAACACAATAAATAAAAATTCATAATCTCTGTGGTCATAACTATACTATTATATGCATGCATTTCACATATAAGCATTCAAAGATTAAACATTGACAACTGGTCAGAATAATAAACATTTTAATTAAAATGTAGGGTTAATCTGCTTAAATTTGATTTATTAACACTTCCGAAGGTAAAACATTGGTACTTTGTAGTCTAAAACGTTATCTAATAGTGTCAGGAAAGATGTCCCGTTATATTTATTGCATGCAAAAATAAATTCTTTAAATGACGATATTTATATTGAATTTAGAAGAAACGTCTTTAGTAGTTGTTCAAACACAAATTCATTGCCATTGAGTGAATCTTTCAATGCATGCATGAAAATGACAAAAAGGCGCCATGTTATCAGACATTTGTCCCTTCTACGCAACACCAATGAATAAAATAATTACATTTTAAAAATAGTCTTGATGACATTTATTTATTTAATCCATAACATTATTTTATGAATTTAGAAAGAAATGCAGTTCTGATTAATAAAAGCCAACACAATATCAACATTCAAAATTATTAAAATGAATGAACATCTCAATATTAAGAAAGATTCCTCATCATAAGAAACAGGTTTAACACAAATAATGTCATGATAAATGAAAATCTTACAATATAATCTCAGTCAGATTTGATGGATCTAGTTTATTTATACACCCATGCAATCACAGCCAGTTCAACTAATAAACAGGTCACTGTAACATTAATATTTAAAAACCAAGAGCAATATCAAAACACAGCCAGACTGAATGGCTGCAATCTTAAATAAAGTCTGTTAATACACACATACACTCTTACATCTGCACTGGTCACTTTATGCAACAATGGACTACCTCCCTATTTATCATGACACTGTATCACAATTTTTATGTTTACATGCCTTTTTGCACTATATACGGTTCTATATCTGCACACCCATTGCCATATGACCTTAATGTCTTTGTATTGTATTGTATTGATTACAAATTTTTATTCTTTCTTTTTTTATTCTTTAGATGACATTTTATGCATATATTTAGACTAAATATTAGGTACATATTTAGATTTGATTACATTTTATGTATATATTTAGACTAAATATTAGGTACATATTTAGATTTGATTACATTTTATGTATATATTTAGATTCAATTTTAGGTATATATTTAGATTTGATTACATTTTATGTATATATTTAGACTCAATTTTAGGTATATATTTAGATTTGATTACATTTTATGTATATATTTAGACTCAATTTTAGGTATATATTTAGATTACATTTTATGTATAATTTTATTTATTGTAAATCCTTTCTTAAAACTCAACTTTTTGTATTAACATTATATGTTAGGCACCTAGGGTCTGAGAGTAACGTCATTTCGATTCTCTATATGTCCTACATGTGGTCGAATTGACAATAAAGCTGACTTTGACTTAATGGGTGCATTACATCTGCTCCTCATCTAAAGCAGAAATAAACTATTATAAATGTCATTTAAAATACGTTAATTAATCAAGATCTGTATTAAGTTCCCATTCACTGCAAATGACTACTCGAGTACGTGTAAGTGTCGCTGAACATTGAATCTTAGACCCCAGAAAGATGATTATAAATGTTTAACACAATTAATGACTAATAAGTAACTCCTAATGTTTTAAAATTACAGGCAACTTTAAAAGAGTGAGACTGAATGGCTGTAACTGAACTCGGGTGACATCAGCCTGCTAATATTCTGTTACTACAATGTCCTTTAAGATCTGTAACATATACAGTTTAAGTTACAGTCACTGTAAATAATCACTCGAGTACATGTTAATGACGCTGAACACTGAATCTTAAATTACAGAAAGAAAATTATAAATGTTGAACTCAATTAATAACATGACAAAATAAAAGCTTCTTAATCCCAGACATTTTAAAACTACTAACCTTACTTCAAAACACAGGCTGAATGGCTGTAACTAAACTCAGTTGACAAGCCCATAGCATCAGTCAGATAAATCAGAAATAAACTCCTCTAATGTCATTTATAATAAGTTAAATTAATCAAGCTGTGTATAAAGTTTACATCCAGCGCAAATAATCCCTCGAGTGCGTGTAATGTCGCGGTGTTTGAGTCGCGGCCTGGTTCCGTCGCTCATCCCCGGTGTTTCCTTACCGCTGTCCCCGATGATGAGCAGCTTGAACAGGTAATCATAATCCCGCGCCATGGCCCCGCTCCGCCCGAGTCCCGCACAGAGAGGCCTCCTGCTCCGCCTCTCCCGGCGGTATGAGCTCCAGCGCCGGTCCCGATCACCGGTTTATTTACAGCGCTTTGCTGGCTTTCGGAGTCTCACATCCGTTAGCTCTTCACTGACCTGCTGCCGCCCGCCGCTCATTCACACACACACATACACACAAACCCCGCTCACTGGAGCTGCGCACGCGCAGCAGACACAGCAGCATTGCAGAACATTCAACAGCAGGGGGCGCTGTTTCATCTACTTTCTGTATAAGCGCGAATATATTTAATGTTGCATTTTTATTCAATTTCTTGTATTTTGTCAATTTTATTTATATAGCACTATTATAAACAACCAAAGGTTAAACAATGTGCTGAAAAATACAAATCACAAAGAACAAGTATAAAATTAAAGCTAAAACAAACAATTCTCACTGATAAAACGCCAAATGAAAAAGGTAAGTTTTCAGCGTAGATTTAAAAGCAGACAGAGATGATATAGATCTAATACAGAGGGGCAGAGCATTCCACAAGGTAGGACCAGCTACTGTGAAAGCCCGCTCACCCCTGCATTTCAGCCTCGACTTTGGGATGCATAACAATCTCTGGTCAGATGAGAGAAG